GAAGCGCGAAAAATGAATTAGAAAAGTCACAATCGATGAGATTAAAGTCAAAACCGATATTTCTCGAAATCGTCGTAATTTCGCGCGATTACCGTGATTTCGAGATTGCGGGACGACGCGGCGACGAGATTACGGATGTGCCGCTTCTTCTGCACGCTCTACGAAATGTCTGTGACGGTGAAAGAACGACGCGTCAAACGCAGCTCTACGGGCCACGATTGAATAATTGCGGATTCTCCGCCGCTCCGTTGCTCCATATCGCCCTCGACTACCGCCTTCCGTAATGGTACTTATATGAGCATATGTAACAACCGATGGACTTTTCGTAGATTACCTTCTTTTCGGTCTTAATCGTATTTTTGTCCGATTAATCCTTTCAATTCTCAATTTCTTTATTGATTGAAAGGAGAATAGAAAAAAGTTTATTTAATTCACAAATATTTCAGACAAAATGATTTTCATGTTTTATAGTAACGTACTCTCTAAATTTCTTAAAAAAGAATCTACTTAATTTTCATACACAATTTTTAAGAGTAAAATTCACTCTAAGTTTTATAGAGAGTATAAGAATAATGTTCATTATTGATGAACATATTTTAAATATTCCTTTTTTCGTATACATATAGATAATATATCTAAGTTGAAGTCATAAACTGAAGCGAAAATGATACTTATTTATGATGAGAACAGTAAAACAGGAAAAAATAAGTAATTCGAAGCAATCTTAATTAGATTATATGTTGGAAGATTTTACATGATTATGCAATCAGTTATAAAATGACATTTAGAAAACTATGGTTTGTTACAAAGTGTAAAATAAAATAACAGAATAAGAGGATAAAGTAGAAATGCTGAAAATGAAATAATATTTTTGTATATATTCGTCAGTATAGCTAAATCTTTATTTATACAAAAAAAACAAAGTTGCTGTTGCTCAACAAGATACATTTTGTCGCATTTCTTTGAGCTTATTAGAGCCAAATAACATTAAACGCTTACGAAAAATTGCAGCGTTACAAGTAAATATAGTAAAAAAAACGTTCACTCTTTCCATTATTTTTAAGAGCGATACGGTAACAACAGTAAAATATCCGATAACCACTCAGAATACAAATATGCTTCGGTATCGGTAACATATATGTGTATTTCGAGAAAATATAGAATGGAATGTATATTGCGTCGACTTCCCATAACAACTGATGACTTCATGACAAATTCATGACGCACAAATATTTTACAAATATCTTACTACTATTATATCTAATATTACACAAATGTTATAAATTATACTTTTAACAATTGCTTAATATTGCGTCTATGATCAAATAGCACATTGAAATTTCTTTATATTTTATAGTGATGCAACGTAGTGGATGAATCAAATAATTATATTTAAAATATCTGTAGCGCGATATATATCGCGCGCGCTTATAACAATATCTTTCTAAAAAATCGGCACTTTTGATGTACATACGTAAAGTATACATATAATTCCAGTATGATTTTCGTGTGATATTTTAAATCGTATAGTTATTATTTTTTATGAAAACAAAAATATTATTATTAAATAGTATTACTGAAAAAAAAGATATGTATGTTTAAAATATTTAATGTATTATTTAAATAAATAATATTTAAATAATAATAAATAAACATTTTTATTGTTTGTTGTTAATTTATTTATGATTAACTTGAAATTTATTGAGTTCATATATTGTATATATAGTATATGTATATTGATATATATATATAAAAGACTTCGTCTCTTTATTGTATCCGTATTACACAAATAAATTTCTATATATAAAAAAAGTTTCAACATCGAAAAAATTCGTCGAAAAGGCACTGCGTACTAAACCTATTGTTTTAATTGTATTCATTTTACATCGCGTTGATAAAGGCACGCTTCAAGTCACACAGATATTTATGTATATATCAGTATAAGAATAAGTACGATAATCTAATCAATATGGAACACACTAATAGATTCAGAATGGTTGCGTTCAACAGACTCAACAGTTGAATGAGGGCTCGCTGTTACTGATGTACTCTTTTAGATCATCCAATCAGATTTTAAATCTAAAAGAATACATCAAGCGAGCGCTCACTCAGTTGTTAAATCTGATGAACGCAGCCATTAATTCACATACATCAATACATTTGTCTAAAAGTAACGTCACAATATATTTATATTATCACGCAAAAAAGATTGTTCAGTATTTTAAAATTAAGGTAATAACGAACTAAAGTTTCATGATATCTCTCGAAGCTGAGAGAATGAAAAAAGAAGTGACAGATTGATCATAAAATCGGCTGCCTAAATAATGTCACCATTATTATTCATAATACTGAACTTCTCAATTATATTAAAACAAAAATTAAATCGATTACTAAACAATTAATAAAACGTTAAATTATTAAAATTATGTACAATTCTCTTAAGTACGCTAGAAGGAAAGTTGGAAAATCTTGCTTACATCGAGCTGATCAAACTGTCTAATCTTTTTTATTTTTCTTTACGTTTGTATAAATTTTTAAGTCTAAATATTTAAAGTCATTAGCAAAACAAACTGTTAAATAAGAGTAAAATATTCGCTACATGTATATACAGTTAATTATCGAAAACTTAATGCTACAAGCTGCACCTGGGCAAAGTTAATATCTTCGTTTCTGGAAGACGCTGATCCACCTTCAAAGGGGATCATTTAATTGAAAATGAAATGAAAAGTGCGGTATAATGTGTAGTCATTACTATTTGACTAATCGCTAAGAATAGTGAGTCGTGTATAAATGATTAAATCTAAGGTCAGTGGTTGCTGCAAGACGAAGACGAAGTATTCTACATTAATACATGTAAATCCATGTAAATTTTTTCATTTGATTATTGAAATAGTTATTTTCTATATAACCATTTCTCCTAATCTTTGATTATACGATTAATCAATGAATATTTGAAATATTAAATTTAAAAGATTATTTATTCAATCTTTTTCTCTGTAATATCTTTATTATTATATTAGAAAAAATTCGGAAAAAGTAAATTAACTCGGAATTAATTTTTTCAAAATTAATTTGTATATTTATTGGGGTTGATAAATTATTAAAATTTTAATTTAAAATAAAAATCAAATTAAACCAAATTTTATTTAAATTCGTCATTACTTATCAATAACTACTTACAAGTTTGAGCAATTTTCTACACGTTCACTCATTAAAATTGAGCATAAATCGAATACTTCCTCCCAATTGATAAGAATAAAATATTTTTTGGGAAGATAGGCAATTGTTGAGCGCGCGCATCTGCTTTGAGCAAATTGTATTTGTATGCAAACATTTTTTTTAATTTTCATCAAGGTTAATGGCTGTTAAATTATGTTTACAGATACTGTACTGTAACTCCATTAATATTATTTGAATTTACATTGCCGCGGAATTTCACAAGAATACATTGTGTCTTGGTTCACCGCGGTTCGCGATAAAACTGTTATCGATTTCCCTTCGTTCTCGTGTGCAACGTCACTGACCTATGCAATGTGCGCGATTTTATACGCAGCACGCTTGCTCAGAAGGCCTTTCATGGACGGAATGGCTGATAAGGATGCGATTTCTTAAAATATTGATTATGTATCTGTTCTTAAAATTCTAAGTGGACGCGCGCTGTGCATAATATGTAAAGAAATTTATGCGCCAATCGTCGATATTTAATTATTGATATAATTTTAATGATTGTAAAGCATCATAAAAACACTACGACAAATATCGTAAGAAATATTAAATTGATTTTTTAATCATTCATTAGTTTTATTTGTAAGTGAAATTTATTTTTTAGCATCACAGTTAATATCGATGCATAAAGCCTTTATTGATAGGAGATAACTGTAAAAAAAACTTTAAAGATTTATTTAAAGAACTAGCTAAAGGATAACTTTAGAGGCACTTATGGCTTATCTAACAGACAAAGGTATTGGAGCTAGCATAGCAATTCCACGGAAGCAAGTGCTTCACCAGTAGTTTAAGATGAAGAGGATAAAGTCGACGAGATTGCACCGCGCGCGTCTACATCCCGCGAGCATGTCGCGTTAAAAACTATTTAATTAAGTCACACAGCCGCATGGTTCGCGGAGGCGTGACACGCATTCACGAGTGTCACTCCAAAACTTACGTTACTATATTATAACTGTACAAATGATCTATTAGAGCGACATTTACAGTCTCGATGTAAAGGTATGCAAACGTTATTTTTCAAATACCATTTTTCAAATGCTTCTTCCTTCAAAGTGTAATAAATACATAGTCAGAAATGCACCAACAGATTATTTCTCCAAGTCATCGAAAGTATCAGCAAATCACTTGCTTGGTGACTTGGCGTTTAATGATTCAAGGATTATCGAGAAGAAAAGTAATTATGTAGAAATATGATTATTCTCTGTGACACTCTCTGTGGTCATTCATAGAATACTATCGACTACGAATATCATTCTTAAAAACTGTTCAACATACGTAAAATTGCGTGAGCATTAAAAAAGACAAAGTGACGATGCATTGAGCGATTTCTCATTTGAGCGCTCATACATTTCAGTATTAACAATGTAGTTCGAAAAATTGTAAAAACGCGAAAAATCTTATATCTCAATATGTATTCGCAGAACAAGACAGTATAGTCACATCACATTTTACGCTTATACGCTTCGCCACATCCTCTTATTTTCATTTTCCTGTCCACTTAAGCTAGAATTATCAATGTTCCGATAAAACAATCTTTTTCTCAATATTCTGGGTAAATATATAGATTTTTTTTTTCATAAAAGCAATTATTACTACAAAAGGTGTTCCTATTTGTCATCTAAACAAGTGGAACTTTAAAATGTATTTTTAAAACAAGTAAATATTTATCTGAATACTTTTCTTTTATAAGTTTAAGTACCTCAAGATTTATACTTTTTCAAGTAACGATGAAAACGATCCTATGTATATTCTTATCAATGTTAAATGCTCATAATCTTAAAACGAACTCTCGCGAGCCTTCGTCTTAAGCTGCGCGGAGTCTGGGCTCGGTGTCATCGCCGGATTATCGTAAGCATAATCGAGAGTTGTATCCTCGCTAGCGTGCCGTCGTGAGAGAGGAGTGCTCGTGGTGTTTGGTGTAGTATTGATCCCATTACTATTACTATTACTATTACTGTTATTATTCTCGATCTTGGATTCTTGCTCCACCGTGGCACTTATGCTTGGTATAGTCAACTTGAGACCGTTTTGCTTATTCGTCGCGGCCTCGACGTCGTCTTGCACTTTGTTCTTATTAGCCTGCTGAAGCAACAACGAAATTAAGACGTTAAAGTACTCGCAACTACTTCGCAAACATCACGTAACAAGTCATTAAATTTATCGTAATGATCGTTTACGGTATTAAAAAATTAAAATAAGAAATATAAGATTTTTTTATCATTTTCACGTAGGGAATTAAATTTTTAATTATATTTGTTATTTTTGCTAAATTTTATTTTATTTTTGCACATGCGTTTAATTTCTAGAAAATCTGTTACAATAACAATGAAGAAAATCTTTTTGGAAAGATCTATTCTTGTGGATTCTCACCTTCACTTTTATATTTCTTCTGAATACAGTCTGTAAAGACTGTTGAATCCTTTTCCACCGTATTAAGGTTCTTCCCAGTAGGTACAACATTCCGAGCAGTGAAAAACATGTCAAAATCGTTGTGATCACGAACCTATACCTAAGCTTCTCGACCTCTTCTATAAAAGGAAATTTTACGACTAAAAATATAAAAATTTTCTAAAGATTATCGAAATAATTATTATAGTATAACATATTCGCTTTATTATCAAAATCAACTCTCACATTAAAATGATAGAAATTATTATAAAAAATATTAATAATGCACGTTTCAGAGAGAGAGAGAAAGAGAGAGAAAAGGATTACTTTCATATATAATACAATCTTTATAAATTTTCGTGTAATTTAATTTTATACAATAAAAAATACACGTAAATAATTTGAAAGAAACTAAGGACTAATTATTTACGTGATAATTGTTTATTACGCTCCGTAATACATCGTTGATTTCAAAAAAGGTACGCGTAAGTGTATCTAATATCCGTTCTTGTTAAAACCTCGAAAGTGAAAGTTGCGCATTATATTCTTAAGTAAAATGTATGTTCTCTTTATATTAGAAAGGAAGAGTCAACGTTAGTAAACATTAAAACAAATATGTTTACAAATTGCTTACGATTACTTTTTTCTAATCACGAATTATATAAGATAATACAAGACACATAAGACTAAAGATAAAATATTGAAATTTCTTGAACGCGTTTCGAAACTACTTGAAAAAATATTTATGCAATGTAAATACACTTTATATAAATGTACATGAAAATTTATATTTTTGTAGTAAAAATAGCTACGAGATTTGTAACAGTAAATTATCGGTCTTCGCGACTACGTATTAAGCGATATTCACGCAAGAATTACAAGTCGAGTGACGCTTGTGCGAGATTTGCGTCGTTGAAATCTCCGACTGGTTTGACTTCTCTCAAGGCGTGCGGTACTTCGCAATAAAATTATGTGCATATTCTATTTGCACTTGAGCCCACTCACCTCTGAGATCATCGTACTGTCTTGATTGATCCATGCGTTGAGTATAGCGCTGATCATGAAGATAATCTGAAATCAGAAGGAACGACCAATAATTAATATAGTAGATATTTCGCATTGCATTTATCGGGTGAACTTGTCTAAAGAAATGTGCTCGAGATATTTCAACATTAAATGCATATTTCATTAACATTTCTTGTCGAGATTATCAGATATTTATTTAGAAAGCGTTACGAAAAATAAATTATTAGCGACGCTACAAAACGCGAAGAGATTTCACCAACTATAACTGTTTTACCATTACGCTATCATGCACTAGATATGTGGGAAACTCGACGGTGTGCTCAAATATAATTAAAGTCGAATCAATTACAGTTTTAAGAACCACAGTCAAATATAGTGCACATCATGTTAAATTCTACTGCATTATTGCTTTAATAATATGATGTTAATGCATATTACAATCTTTATTAACAGTTGTTCAAAGATATAATACATTTCTAAATTAAAAAAGGAAACTGATATTAAAAATTTGCGTAAGAAATATATAATTATAATTAAAAATATCTAAGATATGTAAGTAAATTTTTAGAGATAAGTTTTATTGTGTGTGTGTAATTTATATGAAATATACACTGAAAGAAAAGATTAGCTGACTATGGTATAGTATTTTTAATTAACTACAACAGCAATTTAAAATGCTATGCCATATTTTACCATCTAGTATTTAAATTGTCTGCAAAAGTCAATTTTTTCTTTCAGTGTAGACATTTATTTTTACATCCATCGAAGTTTCTGTCTGTATGATCTACTCCTTCCGAATAAATTAAAAAAAATTTCTATAAAATTAATTCGGCTTACACGCGATCGATCCATCTACCACTTCTACCATCTAGTACATTTCAACATTTGTGTTCAACATTCTTCTGATTCGAATCAATCGTCTACCTCACAAAAAGTTTTAGCGCGCTTGCGTAAGGCCGGAGAGTCGGTCGCGATAGCAACAAGCAGTACAAACAATTCCGACCTACGGTGCTTACGTATAACACGTAAGAGTGCAATTACGCCTTATCCCGACCATAAATGCGAGATGACCCCGTTCCAAAAGAGAAACGAACCTAGACTTCGGACGACGAGTTTACATGGATCGATTCGCGAGCACATAGTCGCGATGGCGATGGATAAAATTTGCAAGGAAAGAAAACAGTATTCTAAACTGAGATATTTAATTGTTGGAAATAATATCGATTATCAATGTGATAAAATAGATACATTTTATTATTGTATATTAGATATTCAAATAATAAATTGGATACGTGTTTTATTACATAAAATTTAATAAATTTTCGTACGTTTTAAATATATTGTGTAATTAAAATTAGTATGCCGCACTATTTGGATCATTAATTATCATGTCGCAATCTCGAAATATGATTTGGAATAATCTTTACTTTATATATTCCTCGAAAATATCCTAAACGTGAAAAGTACGGCGCGTCTTCCTAGTCCTTGTCCTTTCATTGAACATTTTTATATTCATTATCCAACACACAGAGTCAACAAGTTCTCCCCAACATAGAAATCGTATATAAGTCCAAACCGAGTTTACCGACATAACGTAACCGGACACCGTAACGGGGTCTCTCAATGGGGAACCAGACGTGGGCCCGACAGAACTCTACACGGATAATTTCATAAGAACCAGCTACGCACGTCAAATCAAATCTCCCTTCCCTCTATTCTCTCTCCCCATCACGCAAAAGAGCATCCTTTGATATAGAGGCAGAGAATTTCATTCTTCGCGCGTCCTAAGAAGGAGCGAACCCGCGGTTTCTCCTACCTGTCGGAGTATGAAATACATCTCCCCTTCCCCATTACGGAACCGATGTTGAATACTAAGCAGGAATGGAAGGGAAAAAAATGACGACGCGGAGAAGGATAGGGAGGCTGAAAGAAAAAGGACGGCGGAGAGGACAGAGGGAGGAAGAAAAGAAGCTAGATGACTCATCGACCGCGTTCGCGTGTGGGAAGTCGGTAGGAACAGTCAGGTGCAAAGTCAACGGACCCGAGAACCCGGGTTTGGTTTGCTTGCTCGCCGCGCTCGGTAGAGGTGAACGATGGCACCGTACTTGCTATCTGGTTTCCCGTGTGCTCGCGTGGAAACGAGAAATCAGGACATCGCACCGCGATACATGACAGGCGTTGAATAAAAGGCAAGATCGTCTATAAATTTGCAATATATGGAACGTTAATTTTTCCAGCGATTAACATTCGGACACACTTTCGTACCGGTACGCGCAAATTTTCCCGTATCTTGTCAGAGTATTTTCAGACGAGAGCTAATTGTAAAAAAACTATCTTGCGTACACTTTAATATTTAAAACGAACTTTATACTCGACTGACTGAAACCACACAATGAATTTAATTATAATTTTTAACGATGCGTTTTAACGGTGAAAAATTAATAATTATCGTATAACAATAAAAAATATTTACTTTTAAAATACTTATTAATATTAATTTAAAGAATATTCTTTTAAGATGCCTATAAGCATATTATTAAATTGTTTGTTAATTTAATTTATGATATTACTATTTTAGTTCAATAATATTAGGATTACGTTTCAAAACTAAAAATTAAATTCGGCACAAAATTGATAAGATTAGATACGTATATTTTACACTGAATTATTTAAGCACTAAAAAAGTCTAGCTTGACCGTTCAAAAGTTTTTATTTCCTAGCTGTTGAATAATCAGTTTCAAAGTTTTAATCTTTTACATAAAAACTTGTTTACTACTCACATTGACAGTCTTTCTTGCATTCATCTGGCTGATAATTGTGGCTCGTGACGTTACACGCATCCACACATGATTTGCAATGTAGATCAAAGGGGCTGCAATATTGCGAGATGTCGCAAAGTATCTCGCCACATCTGGTACCCCGAGGATCGAGGTCGGCTAGCAAGACGTTAGCCAAGACGGATAGAACGACGATGGCTATCACTATCAATGTCATGCTGTTTACGGTCACCTCCAGGAACACTTAATCGAAGCAATATCGGCTCTAATCACAGTAGATTTAATTGAATTCGCAACCGGTTTGACGTTCTTTCTTTTTCTAATTGTCCTTTTTGCCTTTCTTCTTTTCTTTCCCTTTTTATCTCGAATCACGGATCTAGGACACAATCGTGATTTTCTCCATCGACGCTCATGATGATCCTTAACGACACTCGAAAAGTATACCTCGAAGAGGCTCCATGTTTGTGGCGCTGAAAGCATTATGAAAACATCGGTTACGTATTTATAAATAGTTTTTTTTAAAGTATATATGTAATATGTATACAATATATAGTAGGACACTGAAAGAAACTATTGCTTATTTTGATGTAAAAGAATCGGCCAAAATGTCCGTCTATTAGTCGACATAATGCAAAAGTTCAATAACAATTTGTACAGTTTGAATGCACAGTAGGTTTATTTAGGTCGAATCGAGTATTCGATCATAGAGAATTTTTTTTTTAATAGAAATTTCGTTTCTCGTTGGTCACGTCCGATTTCATCGAGAAATGCGTCAGTACCTGTGAAGTGGCATCACCTGTACTCTTCAAACACCTGTGTTAACGCATATGTGAGCACGGCTGGATGCATCAAAATGGCCTCCGGTGTCGCGCAACAGCGGAGATACTTTCGCCTACTCACTGACAACCTCATTTTATTGTCACATCATGAACTATGTATTGTAAATTACTTGCGGTTTGTTGTTCTTGTCGTGCTTTATATATTCTTTCGATTGCGTGACGTTTACGTGAGCAACTATTTTTTTCAAAGTCAATAACATATTTTTAATAGTGATAGTCACGATGATATTATAAAAAATTGCAATAAATAGATAGATTTATAAATAGACAAAATTCTTGTGATTTAAAAAATGAATTAAAATCAATTAACGGATGATAATGAGGCAATAAAAACCGGATACTTGTAAGACATGTACCTAATCCGCAGTCGATTTAGCAATAAGATACAACATAATGAGAGACTAATATTCTCAGGGCCACAGCATATCGCGTTTGTGACTCACTCGTCGTATCAACCAGCGAGGTAAACGTTTGCTTCGTTTCCTACGTAACGGCAATGGAAAATTGTTCTCCCACGCATAACAACAACTAGCTGTCGATCAAAGTCGCTAAGACGGAATTATGTTGATCAACCGAAATATTTCCTACACGATCTTTTTTCACCAGTCATTTTATTTAAAAAATTTAAAAGAATTAATCAACATCTCAGTAATTAAAAAAAATATTCGAAATCTATTCGATTATGTCAATTTTAGAATTATTTTCTACTTGCTCGCAATTCAATGCTCAAGATGTGCTATTAAATTTATAATGTCAAAACTTATACCCATTTTGAGTTATTTTTAACTATTTCTATAAACCGCCATTGTTCTTATTCAATATGTTGTTAATTTGACTAAAACAATATCGAGTTAAATAATTCAACTCACGAAACGCGTAATATAAAATTTTATTTGATAAAAATCTAGTTTATTATTTATTAGATGAATACGTTAGTATGGATATTATTTACTTTAGAACTGCAGAAATGGATTAAATTTACATGAACGTTGAAATTATAGAAATGGGTTCTGTGATTTACATAGAAGTTAAAAATAACAAAATGTTATTTTTATTCAAGAGATTGCTCCTTTAGTATCAAACAGTATATATTGTATACTGTATTACGAAATTGAAAAAAAAATTGTCAAAATAAAAATATATTGTCACATATTGTTGATAACGTCATAATGTTTAATAATTGCAACACAAAAATGTGTCAAGCGATTACGATATTGTCCACCAATGTTTTGGAAGACGCACGATTATACGTGCCTTTCTTTCGCCAACACTATTACGGCATATCGCGTATCTTTAAAACACATCGAGTATTATATATATTTTTTTTCAAGTGCATAATTTTACTTGCGATCATGCGGATGTACTATACATTGTAACGCAAATGCTCGTTGCAATTCACTGCGTGGGATACGCGAGCGCTGTGGTACATCTGGTACCGAATGCACACAATACGTGCCGACGCACAATGCTTTAGGGTGTTGCCTGGTGTTGTAACAAATGGAAATCGAATGCAAACACATGGTACAACCTACTCGAATAGTTACACGAAATAAAGCAATAGTAAACTATTTAAAATGAACAGAATATGGAAATAATAAAAGTCTTAAAGTTATCGTATATTTATATTTGTATTCCATATAAGATGAATATTTACGATCATTTTACAAAATATTTTTCAAACTTCAAAATTCTGTTGTCTTTTTTCAGAAAATAATTTCAAATAAAGTACACCAAAGGTCTGTTTGTGAGAATTACTTGTTTGAAAAACTTTGTTCCAAATTTCTGTAATGTTCGGTATTTTAAATTAAAAGAAATTATGTTCTAAATCTTTGATGAACTCGATTCTAGTATTCTCGACATTAAAACTGGGTAAACAAAAGCCTTGACCGAGTTGTAGTAGGGCTTGTACTGCAGAGGGAATAGGTGTGGCACTAAGGTTTTCAAATCACTGGTTGTTAATTTTAGAAAAGTCATAATTAAATTGTTCATAATTCACAGAAGACAAATTGATTTTGATAAAGTTTGAAAGTTAGCAATCGTTATCGAGTTTATGAAAATGAAACTTTTTATCATTAGTAATATTAAGATTAGAATTAGAATCAGAAGTGTTATTTGCTGGTTCAGTACATGTATTTGTCGTACAATAATATTGAATATTCGACATATTCTCCATATATCTGTACAATTCTCTCTCAACAACCACTGAAGTTTACGGTGTAATTTCTGATTTTTAGATTTTTGTAATTTATTAAGAGCAACAAATTGAGAGTGAGTAAAACCGTTAAAAATATAAAGAGGACTTATATTGAGAAATGTAGGCAAAATAAAAAAGAAATGTATTTCAGTATGTCTATAACATTAATTAAATATGAATGAAGAAGATAAGTTACAAAGTATAGACAAAGAAGAGTTTGCGCTACAACAATAATTTTTATTTTTTATTTAATGCAATAGTTAAATAAATTATTTATGAATTATTTAAAAGATGTATATTATATATAATTTAGATTATGTTCTAATATGGCTATGAAATAAAATAAATAATTAGAATATTGATAACATGAATACATGAACATATATATAGTTATTTTATATTGGAAAACATAATCATTATAACACTTCGAAGATTATAAAACTCATGATTTAAAATAAAAACCTATATACACAGTTTACACAATTAATTTTAGAAAGAAAAATTTCTTATATTTTTCACGTTGATCAATATTTCATGAAAAATATGTATTAATATATAATATCAAAAAATATATATTACATATAAATTGATTTCTGTGCATGACTTTATTTTCTCCAAAATTTGTGATTTATTATATTTAAATAATTGATAATCATATCTATACATTCAAATATCGTATTTAAAGACTTTTAGTAACAATATGTTTCTCAAAATAACTAAGAGCTACTTTATTTTCTTCACTATGCCTGTCATTCAATACCATCTTATAAATCATCTGTTTATTTATCACATTCCGACACGTTCGTAGACAAGAACTTTCAGATCTATTTTTCTAACCAGCGTCTCGATCTTGCTGTTTTTATCCTACAACGGAAAATATCACTAACTGTGTCTCGCTCGAACTCTGCATCGAGAGACGTTTGCCATGGAAAGTCGGAATAGAGAGAAGTCGCAGAGGTAGGTGGTGGACGTGCACGGTCGGGACACAGGAATGTTGCCTGACTGGTTCACGAGAAGGCTTTTACGCATGGCGAACATTATACGAACCCGAACATCGTCGATACTCGCTCTCAAACCTCGACTACGATCGAAGGAATGAATCACGAATCAAAGTCGTCTATCGGATATTAAACAGCGTGATGTGAATCGATTATTCATATAAGTGAGAAATTGAACACGGTAATAGCATAAGACCTATGCTATATTGCTGCAAAAATTTCTGTTTTGAAATCTTTGAACATTGAAACCGTTTCCTCTGTGCAAACATTATGATAGACCGCGAGAATAAAATTCTTTTTGTTCCTACTTGTTTTTTCTATTTTCTTCTATCAAATTAGATATTAAAGTTTAAATTTTGTTTTTTAAATCTTTATGCTGTTATTAACATTCTGAATTAGTAATCGTTACAACAAAAAGCGCTTCCCAATTAATTTCAATTTTTTAAATAATTTTCTTTTAATTGAAATATCCAAACACTGATAGGTTTTAAATTACAAATTAAAATGTGAAAATGACATGTGTGACAATTAAATATAAAGAACCTTAAAATTATTTCCGAATCAAGGGCGAGATCTTCTAAGAAACTTAATTTTAGTCCATTTCTAGGAGCTAAAATTGAGTTTCTTAGAAGATCTCACCCTTGATATAGGAAACAATTTTCTTATTTTTTTGCCACACACGTTATTTTCGCTATTTATTTTTGTTCTAAAAAAAAAGGACTACTTATTAGTGATTTATATTTTAACTACAAAATTATCGATGTTGGGATATTTTAGTTGAATGCGTAAAGATATCGGTCAAAACAAAAATTCGGAGTATTGCCTGTAATTTAGCAAATAATAATACATAATTATCAGCCACTATACACGTTTATTTTAATTAGAGGCTGACTCATATTGTCACATGTACTTGGTATCTCGTTTCTTGTAACATCTTTTGCCCATTGATAACAACGTTATGCGTAACCCACAGTCAGCCTTGTCACGTACTTGACGTCAGAGTCGTCGCGCGAAGCCTCGTCACGCGCGATCATCTTCCTTATGACGAAACGTTGCAAATGCTGCGGTAGCAATCTCGGAAAAAACTGCATTCGCGATATAATCACAATTCCGCATTTTCTAATCCTGCGTAACCGACGTGCAACAAAGTAGGACAGTTACACGACAAGCGTGTGTAATTAGCTGCTAATTAATTAGTCACTTTCATTACGATGTCGTAAATCTAATGCTCGATTTCAGAAGTTTCCAAGCAATTTTCCACACGGATAATGATTGCAGTGTAACGTCGCGCTCGATTGATTTGTCCTTGCTCGAGCGGGTAAAGTATTAATGCATATTTAATGAGTTTTCGGAAAGCATCGTCTGATACCGGAAATATGTACTCCGTTGAAAGTCTGTAATACGAGCGATGAATGACATAAATCCCTCAACTACGAGAAAATATTTTTTTTAATCGAATTCTTTAGCCGTTTTGAATTGATAATTCTTAGAAAAAGTTCAATTGGGTGTTACTCTCCTTTCGTAATTTATTCCTTGGCAATCAAACATAAAATTCTATCGATTCGAGATCTTTTTTGAAATGCTATCAAATTATAAACTTAACTTTTAGAGTTGTGTTTGCAATAAAAATGAGAATTCTACTACTTTGTGTTATGCTATTCAGAATTAATCTATTTTAACAAACGTAAATTTTTATTTTTTATAGTTTTTACTTTTATTAAACGGTAGAGGGAAATACCGGCTTCAAATTAAGCAGAAAATCCTTCAAGTAAAAGTTTTAATAACTTCTCCCGAACAATGTAAACTCTAACATATGGTGTTAAACATATACCGGTATTTCCAAGCAGCGGGAATCAATATTATACATATATATAGTAACAAGTGGATCAATGCGATACGAATAAATTATGAAATTATCTTGATACATGTCAAGTCCACTCGTCTTATGTATTCAACTGTGTGATCGTTAAAGTCTCCGCGGACCCTTGCATCATCTTCCAACAAAACATATTCCGCGTGTTTTCGATGTGCGCACTTCGCTTCTATACGCTGATCAGCTCTAATTCGATTCGAGTAGCTCGGTAACCGGATTCTCGAGCATCTAATGACAACGATAAGCTCGTCAAGTTGTGGACAACAATATTCTCCTATGGTAACGATATTTTCGATCGTAAAATTAAAAACGTATATATACAAGGAGAAAAATATCAAAGAGAAGCATTCAAATAATCCTAAACCATTAAGACACCGTTCGAACGTTTCTCTATTGTGTAATAAAATTTTATATTGTAACTCAGACGCGCGGGAGAAAAGTCTTTTAGATCTATTTCAAAGAGAAACAATTAAAGGTTTCCTCGCATTAACTATGAACAAAGCATCGTTTACGCAATTTTATGGCGCAACGTTAGGGAGAAACGATTCGCGCCAAACTCCGCTAAGTCTTTGCGCAATTTTGTAACTACAATTAGAAGCACAATAGATCACTCACTTACCGAAGTCATCCGTAAAGCGCAGTCCGCGCCCCGGACGTACGCACGAAGTCTCACGCACCCACGCACGATCACGTGCTACGCACCCCGACGTCCTCGGATTCCTGCGTCGCGGTGAACGCGGACGCACGCGCGTACATCGTATTCGCTTCGCATGCAAACTCGTGAACACGCACCATCGACGGCCCTCCACGCTTGACTGTCGATCGCGAGAAAGCTAAACCGAACCGAGTTGGTGGCGATGGCGAGTTCCTTCAGGTTTCCGAGACTCCCACCTCTTCGAGGAGTCGGAGCCCCTCCAACCGGCGCACCTGTCTCCCTGCCATCGCGTTCACCTATTCCTCCGCTTCTCCCTGCGTCCTGTGTTCACCTTTTTTCTCTCTCTTACCTGTCATTTACCTGTTGCCAGCTTGCGCGCGCACTTGCAACCCGCGACGACTCGCGCTGTTCGATTGCCATCGGAGATCCACTGCCGACGACGATAGCACGTGTTGACGTGTCAAGTACGCGAACACGTGACTTTGACCGCGGAGGATGCCGACGCATCTTCCAGAGACCGAAGGCTGACGAAAGTCTCATTTTTATCTTTTCACATAATGTATGTCTTTTTAAAAAAGAATCTATGAATCTCTACTTTTGTAAAAAGAGAGATAAATCCTTTATACTGTCTTTTGTGTATTTTTAACTGTGTTAGAAATTTTTAACATTCTTGCAATCAGTGTTTAAGCGTTCTACGTAATTATTTTTTAATGATCTAATAAAATTATTCTCAGATCTCCCTAAATTTTTAGATACTTTAGCAAAACCATTCTTTCTGTATAGAATTATCTATTATTACAAGAATTTAACATAAGAATTTAACGTTTTCGCACCGGTGAACTATTTCCAGGATGTTTGATATTTTATACAAAAAAAAAAAAACGTAATCATAAAATAATAGATATTTTATCATATGTGAACAATTATGATATATAACGTGATATAATATTGGTACATTAGGTCTTCTTTAATAATAATGTTCATTCCTTTTTAATCGTTGTAAAAAATATACGTTATTTAATAAATATAATAAACACACAAAGATATCGCGGGTCATCAGTGACTCACGTAGCGTGCTAGTCAAGTCACTTAAAATTGACGGAACGTGTTAAAAACATTCGACTAACACATCAGCGGCAATACATACGAAATAATGTAATATTTATTATCGATAAAATATGCTCACTTGCAACGCAAAACGAGATAGCGACGTAAGGACAGTTATGCAAATAGACATTGGGGCAGTAAAGCGTATACCAAAGCACGTGTAGTGGGATGACGACATATATATTTTTATTGCGTATTAAATGTTCATACAAAGATATAACAATGACTCTCGCGTATTCGCGGCGCTACAGGTGCTAACATTATTATTGCAGGTTAATATTGTTGTTCCAGAGGAAACGGATTATTGCGCACAAGAAGATTGATTGAGGGGGCGATTTGTCGAGTAGGAGGTCGATATGTCGAGCCATTTTGGTGCTGTCATTTCTGCTTATATGGAACGGATGCTGCGAGCCGTCAGGAATTTCTCGAAACAATTTCGAAAACCGGAAGCGAGTCTCGCGGACATCGCCCTTTGACTCTCTTTTTCGTTGAAACTTCGATATTCATGTTAATTCGCAGTGCTTATCGAATTGCTACGCGTTGCACGATAATGTGCATAAAAACGCTACTAAAAAAAAATTCTAAGAGATTTGGAAAAATTTCACGACACCCCTGGTTGAGTATATTGCTCATTGACCATAGGTACCCGTAGATTATCACGCTGACGTTGGTCCCCATAATCATTGAAGATATACCCGGCGCGATTGTGCCCGTTGTTGAAAATTGTCGCGGTAGTTTTGGACCCTCCCGGTTGTCTACGTGTATCGCTACTGATTCAAAATGTAGTCGAATAGTCAGTCATAAATTTCGGTGGACCGTGGGTATCAAGATCACTTCCGGAGATCTTTATCAACCAGGGACGTATCCGCGATGTGAACGACAGTAATTCACGGAATTGATTACGAGTGATCGAGGGATGATTCGAGATGAACAGAGGCGAACCCGGTTATCCGCGAGTGAATCTTTTTGTGGAAATCTGCGATCGCGTCCGGTCGTTTTTTAAGGAATGAAAATCCTTATGACAGTCGGAGACCGTCAAGCGGATCTCAGTCTGATAATTTGTGCGTTTTGCTTTTGATCGTTTGTAATTTCTAACACAATAATTGTCGAGAACACCCTGTATAAAGTATTCCGCTGCTCCCGGCCGTCTTGCCTTTCCTGCTCGCTACTGAAAACACAATTTTCTCTTTTTTTTTTCCTACTAAAAACGCAAATTCTTTTCATTTTTCACGGTTTTGGCGTATCCGCGTTGATATCGATCGACACGTTCTATTCGTGTGACACTTGGTGAACTCCGTCGGGCGCATCCGACGCGCCGTATCTACGCACGCAAACCACGCACACGACACACCCTCTTCTTCGTTTAATCCGCCTCTACCTCGAGCGAGTTCATTCCGGCTGAAATGTTCCGATGGGATTGCACACCATGGATACGCCACGGTTGACCCCGTATTCAGCCCAGGAGCGCATACTCGTTGACCGCAGGTACCGAAAGTTATCGTACCCATGATACTTGCCGTCATTGAGGATGCACTCTGCGATTGTCAATTGATGGAACATTATAGTCCCTTTGGTTATCTAGCATGAGCCGTTGGATAGAATAGTGATATAACTTGATAACAGTGAATCATAAATTTTAGGGAACATAATATCTATCTTTATGTATTTTTTGTAAGTTGAATATCTCTATAATCATGTGATACTTTTTTTTTTTTAAATATCCGATTATTCTTTGACATAAAATTTTGGACTAAAAGAATTGAGAAATATCGACGAAAAGATAAAGAAATTATAAACACCATTTTCAATTTGTCATGCCCGATGGCTCATACGTCGCAAATGATTATTGGTAATTCTCTCAGTAATTATGGGCAGCAAGGGCACTTTCGCGCAATTTTCCAACCAGAGTAATCATCTCACGTATACACACATTCTCTCTTTTTTTCTCTCTCTTTTGCTCTCAAGCGCATTTGTTCGCGACACGCGTTTATCGTGAATCGAGCAAGCGCCAGATCGCGCGATTAATCATTATTACTATTACTATTACTATTACGATTGCAATCCGTAATTAGTCAACGGGGAGTGCATGATGATTGCACGTTCAACATATAATAATCGGAAAGGCTTTTCGCGTTCCGTTCCCCAATTATTTGTTTGTTTATCACGAGATAGTTTTACTAATGCTGTCAATACGGATCGAATAGTTTATATATCCGGATGAATCGGACTCGATCCCGAAGTTAAAATTCAAAATAAAAGTTCGCGAAAAACTCTTCATCTCGAATCGTTAGTATCATGAATTTTAATTCCAGATTAATAACTTGATCGTTAAACCGATTAAACTCATTAAATTAAAATTGGCAATTTTAAAACTACTAAAAAATACATCTAAAAAAATTATTTTTCGAATCACAAACTAAATAATTAGTAAACACATAATGTTTTTTAAAAGGTTAAAAAAATTTTTTTTAACTATTAATGTCTCGTTCTTCAATCGAGATCCACTATGGACAGATATCGATGATGTAATCATCATATTACTCACACACATACACACACACACACACACACACACGCACGGACGTACGCACGCACGCACGCACGCACGCACGCACATACACGTATGTTCTACGAATTAAGCTGCCTTTGCGTGTTGCAGATTGCGCGAGGGTGCAACAGCAAAAAGCCTGGCCGGAACTTGTACGTTTACCGTTTATCCTTGCGAGCGAACTAGCGGCTACGACTACGTGTTCGTTCGGACCTTCGTATCGCTCATTCGCTATAGATTTGACTTTTCGTTTGTGTGCCGCTTGTGTACAATCGAACTCGTGCGATTGATTCAGTTTGAGGAACAATCCGACGAGATCGGGCTCTGCGTCGGAATATATTGTTTTCAAGAATGACAATGTGAGTTTCATCAACGTCTGAGAGTAATTCAATCGCATATGCGAGCACGAGCGTTCCCTGTGCGGTAACGTACTCCAAGTTGTGGCCATAGCTTCCATAAAGAAGAAAGATAAAACGATCTCTCAAAGATAGACAGGTGAGAGAGAGAGAGAGAGAGAGAGAGAGAAATAAAAATTATAAAATTAAAATATTTAATAACACTTAATAATAAAACAAATAAAACGCCGATATAAATAATAAAATACAACGCACCAACGAAACACACTCTAGTCCGGGGATAGAAATAAAAACACAATTGTAAACGTTCCGTTACCTGATCATTTTATTGTTCTTAACAGACGTCGATGAAATTCGCACAGGACTAATTTGCGTTCTCTTACTTAGATTCAGTCTTCACAGACCACTGCGTTTGCCGTATTAATTCGTGACTACATTAATACAAAATATATTTTATTATAATTTATGTAGGTAATTAATAATAATAATATTTATAGCTTCTTTTACGCTGGTGGCCACGAAGAACCCGGCGTCTGTCTCGTTTTCCGTTCGGTTTTTCGGATAAGGTGAAAAAGAAGGAAAAAGGAGAAAAAGCAGGATATCGCAGTGTCGACCTGAAGAATCAAGATTGATTAACCGCTATCAAAGTTGATTTTCAAACAGCCGACGAGCCACGGATAGACGGAATAGTAGGGATAGGAAAACTCGGGAGGAGACGCGGGATTTTGGCCTAAATAGACATATTTACACGAAAGGCCGAAAGGACAATTTCTTTTTTTTTTTTGCGCGCGATAAGCGTATTCCGAGAGGTAATTTCGTTGATTTCGACTTTAACGTAAATTTCGTAAGAAGTAGAGAACTTTACGCAAACGGTTCGGGGATGAACGCCGCGTTTGTGGACCACCCTTCCTACAGAAGATTGTTTTTTCATACCCATTCACGAAGAATTTGTTATCCTAATATTTAGTTCTATAAAGCGCTACTATTCTAAAATTTAATGCAATTTGTGTCCATGTTTTTCGTGTGTATATGTGTATGTGTGTGTGTTTTCTTGTGTTGTCTGTTGTACATGTTATTTGTGTAAGATCTGCACTTCTTCGAATTAAAAAATTACCACTTCAAGACATGACGCGTAGGCGCTA